AATTGTTAACCCTTAACTTTCATGAAAAAATGAGTGATATTTCGTAACCAAGAAAAAAAAAGAATGGTTTTTCCGTCCTTTTAGGTCTATAACCGTCAGTGGGAGTACAAGAAAGAAAGAGGCAGTGGAAATGGCATAGAAGAGCAGACTTTCCCAGAGGGAGGTAAAATAAAATCCAAGAGAAAAACTTGGAGGAAATAGGAACAAAAAAATTCAAGGGAGCTTGATGTTTTAATAAATTGTTTTCCTGCATTTTGTGACCATTATATGTAAAAACCAGTGGGATAAACAAGCTGTGACTTAAAGCATACAGATAAATAGATTGTTCTATCTCATGCAGAACACTATATCTCACAGGCAAAACTAACTATAAATATTTAGGTAACCTAAAATCGAACATGTATTTCAGGACAGATTTTGTTATTCCTTGCGCATACTGTGGGGATGAGGGACACTGGAAAGAGCAAATGGCTAACCTTTGCTTATTCAGGCAGTATAAAAGCCAGGAAAATTGCATTGTTTGCTTCTGATTTTCATTTCCATTAGTGAACCTAGATACCACCCTGGCAGAGTAGAAAGTATTAGGAGTAGGTGAAAACATAGATTGTGTTCACCTTAAGGAACTTCTTTGCTTTCCTAAGGTGAATAAAGGTCAAATCTGGACTCAAAGGGGTTCCTTTCCTTCTTTTCTAGGGGTAAGTGCCACCTCAAAAGAGAGGAGAATAGGTGACACTGGGCTCTTGGTATGTGCTTTTTCGTGTGACTACACACTTTCCATTATTTGTTTGTTTGTTTTTAATTGCAACTCCTGTCACTGGTTTCAAGTGACTGTAGCTGGCAGAAAATACTCTTTTCTTTGAAGGTCTCAGTTCTTAACAGTTCTCTTGTGGGTCTGTTTTGGAGCTTAGCTGTTTGGCTGCTTGTCACTATGACATATGAAAATAATGAGCAGAATTAATTTATATTATAGTGTTCTAGCTTCAGTGAAGTTAGGCTAAAAGACGTTTTGGTCTGATGGATTTCAGATGAGCATTTAGACTGCTTCAGTTGTTTCCTGAATATAAAATAACCATGGAAGCTCAACACAGTGGAACAGGAATTTATTTAACCAGGGTAATCATTTGCATGTTTGAAAGATCACAGCTGCTAAAATGGGTTCTGTGCTGTTTTGTAGTACTTACCTATGGACAGAAGTACCATTAATGTAATTGTTGCAGAGACCGTATTAGTGGTGTTTAGCCACATGGGGGGCATCTGTGTTGTTGGTGCACATCTGACTTTGCACTAGAGTGCAAAAAACTCACTGTCTGTGAGTTTGTGTGTAATCGAGCTGCACTCTGTCATGCATTAACTCATTCCTTCGGCAAGAAAATC